ATGCATTGCTGTTGTCAGCAACACGACAGTTACTGTCATCCTACATGGCCGTCCTTTAATACTAGAGCTCAGCGGAGGCTTTGCGCTGAAAAGCATTTGTTTTTTATTTTTCCTTTTCCTACAGCAACTTTTGATGATTATAAAAATTCTCTTTAGATTTAAAGCAAGCTGCTAATGTGTGGCTTTTTCTAAGAACACTCCCTGAGTTTGCCTGCGTTGCTGTAACTGTCTGTCTTCGTGCAGACTTACTTATTTCCAAAATGATCCTGGTATTTAGTAAGACAATTCGCATCAAAAGTAAAAAGGAACTGAAACCACTAAAAAAAAATCTCAAGATGAATCTGGAAATTGCAGGCCCTGACTCTCATCTCAGGAATTTTGCATAGGTTGGATTTAATAGATCTGCTGCTTTGTAAAATCAAGATAATTTGACTGATTTAAAAAAAAAAAAACTATGAAAGTTTGCATTAACTGAGGAGCCAGTCCTCCAGGTTCCTTGCCAAGGCCTGGAAAATAAGAAATCCCTTTGGCAAAAATGGTCAATATTTTTTGAAATTTCATCCTGAAAAATGGAAAATCCAAAAGCCTTTAGAAACTTTGCCAAGATCTGCATGAAAATAAAGAGAGCCTTGTAACCCAAAGCAGCCCCTAGGACAGTGATGGGAACACATGTATAGGAGTTAGGTTATTCTGATAATCTAGGCATGAGAATTTTCATAGTGGGGATTATGACCCTGAATTTGCTTCCCATGGGAATTTTGACCACAAATTCTAACTAGGAATTTCCTTAACTAACCTGAACTTGTCTCCACAGAGAGTTCTCGTTTCAGCAAACTGCTCCTTCCAACCAAAAATATCTTGCTGAAAATTTTCCAGACAGATTTATTCTATACACATGATTACTCAGAAGTCATATTACTATATGACACATCTCAGCAAAGGCTAATTTAAAAAAAAAAAAAAAAGTTTTGCACAAGTCAGACTGCCCCAGGTTAATGTAAAACATGACTATAAACTGATTTTATTAAACTAATTCAAAGGACTGAATGGACTTTTTCATTGCAGTTTAAACCAGCTCAATTTTGTTCTGTTTTAATAGGATTAGGAACCTGCTGTGTTTAAATAGAAATCAGAGCACTGAAACAGGGTAACAAAATTGGTACTAGCCTAGATGAAGATAAGGCTGATTCAATCAATGCTGATAACAGCAGAGGGTCATCTGTGCCCCTTCTGAAGATCCTTCCAGGATTAAGGCATGCATGTGTTGGGAAGGATGTTAGTCTTTGTTTAGTATGATTTTTAACATGTAAGTAATATAATAATAACCAAAATGCAAATCAATATAATTAAACTGGAAAGACATCCATATTACTTTAAGAAAATCTCATTTATGTATTTTTTGTTAATCTCTTGGTGGGATCCCATGTTTGCAGAAAAAAACCTTCCTCCAGATAATTCTACCAGGCAAGATGGGTTGAAATATAAATGCTGGGCTCATCTTATAAATTACTGTCTTTGAAGAGAAGCTTTTGGGTCTCTCTCAAATTAATCTGAAGTACCCAGAAATTCTCCATCGATTTCAACAAGCTTTGGCTCAAGCTTTTAATGCCCTGTAGTTAGCCTTAATATGCAAGATGAACTGGAGGGGTTTTCATTGACAAGCCTGCCTTCTAACAAAAGTCACCATGCATTTCGCAAACAGATGTGCTGAAAAAGTCAGCGAAATAATAACATAAATGTTTATAAAATAACAAAACAAAACAAAAAAAAGGCACAGGAAATATTTGTTATCCTTATTTATTTAATAAAGAACATAATAAACTTGAATTTTTCCAGGTACAAAGAGCTTAATATGTCCTATGATATTGGCTGATATTTTCCTTGCTCTTTTCGTAGCTTGGGTGATTCATGTGGTAGCATTTATTGAACAAATCAACAGAAAAAATGGTAGCACTCACCATGCTTATAGACAGCGTGGGCCAACTATTGAGTTACTGTCTTTAACTAAATCACTGCACCGGGAGGTTGTATCATTGCTAGATTCAGATCGGCATCTCCATTAATAAAGATCTGCAAGTGAGGTTATTTGAAGTTTTTAAGGGGAGTTCTGCATACCATATAAAGATACCATTCTCTCTTCAACTCTAAAGAAATGTGCCACAAAACAATAGAAAACCCAATAGAAAACCAACCTTCCAATTACAAAGGTTTTGAAATTAATTTACAATTCAGTTTTAGAAAGTTGCACTGTAAACATCTATAGTTAAGACCCTCTTTCAGATTTTTTTGCATTATGATTTTTTTTTTTTACAGGTTTTGGGTAGAAGATGGAACCATCTGTAATTGCATCAGTACTATACAGTCTCACAGCAATGATATAATAAAATGTTCAATGCAAGGGTGAAATGACCAGAGGAAGAGCTCTTCTCTAATATAATCAGTGACCAGTTAATCAACCCATTACATCCCATTCATTACTGGGCCTGACCCTTAAGAAGAATATCAGTTGAATATTTTCTAATATAAGTTGCAAATAATTAAAATACTTTTTAAAACATGACCAACACTGCACTGCTGAGTGCAGGCTGCCTTTTTCCTTGGGTTTTGAATAGTTTATATTGTATGTGAAAAAAATCACATAAGAAATGCTCCTTTTTCTTAGTATTTTTCCCTCTCTTTTATTCTAAAGCTTTGAAAAGAAAATAATTTTACCAGTTGTCAGCCAATAAATGCTTGTTCAGCAAGTAATGAATGTACTATTTTCTAATTAAACAGTTTCATTACAGGCAGCAGCTCATTGCTAATGATCAATAAATCCCATTGAGAAGAAAACATTTTAATCAGTAAGTCGTGTCCTCTGAGTGTCAGCCACTCTATAAACTCACAAGGTACATATATATGTATAGATATACGTATGTGTGTATATATATATGCATATAAATATAAAAATCGCATACTCTTTCTGGGTGATATGTACAGTCAGAATAACATTACAGCATAAATACACAGGGAATCTGTATAAAGTTTCTCTAATTTGAGAAGCCTTGAGCAATTTTGGTTTTTTGTGGGGGGGTTAGGGGTGGGGAGAGAGGACAGAATAAAGAGTGTTTTCACTTTAAGGAACAAAGAGTAGTTCCCTTAAGTTAGAATCTAATTACATACAAGATTTAAAGGCAACAAAATCCCTGGAGGAACAGCCCTATGTTATACACCATAGACATGGGGTTAAAAGGGCAAGAGAGCATGATTATAATAATACTTATATAGTACTTTTCATTCCCTTATATAGTACTTTTCATTCCCTTATAGCACTTTGCAACCAGAAAGTCATACAACACACCTGTGAGGTAGGTAAGTATTATTATCCCCATTTTACAGATGGGTAAACTGAGGCACAGATAGGTTAAATTATTTGCCTAAAAATCATGTAGTAAGAATCAGGAATAGACCCCAGGAATCCTGATGGCAAATCCTCTGAATTAACCGATAGACCACTCTCAAGTGAATGCCTGAGACACCTCTCAATGAATGGAGAGAATATATTAGCCCATATTTACACAGATACATCATCATCCTTTTGACATGTTGTCTTTACATATTCTGACTTGTTTAGAGGACAGGTAACAATGGCCATAGATAAACTTGACTGTAACATGTTACTTTAATTCTTGTTGCCAACCCCATGTGGATTTTGACTCCTTTACAACCTGGGATGTAACTAAATGTCAATGACAATACACCTTAAATACATTCTTGATATCTTTGCTTCTCCAGGTGAAAAGCACAATTACTCTTCCTTAAAGTGCAATGGCTCATTACAGAAATCTCGAGATTTTCCATGAAGTCCAACCAAACCCAAGTACAATCAGTCTGAAGGTGAAAAAGAAATAACTTGTCTGTAATGATGGACTTGTCTCTGTATTCCATAAATACCTTTTCACATTCTATCGAGGCTGAAAGTTTAATAATAAATAATAATCTATATTAGCATGTAAAACCTCTAATACTTCTCTACAGCCACACATCCACCTTTCACCCCGTTGTCATTTCTTTGGCCTGAAGCTGATGGACACATCGACTGTAAATATCACTTTGCCTACAGGAATGAGGACATATCTATTTTCTAGTAGATTCTTTTTATTGGTTCCTGTATTTCTTGTCCTTCTCCAGTAATCTAACGGTATGGTCTGAGAAAATGAAAGATGGATACTGAGTAGAAAGGATTCAAAACCTCAAAATTTACGTACAGATCCAGAGGCAATTCCCCTCCCACCTTTTTGATCACACTGTTGCAGCCGTTCTGCATGGTCCAATTGGTGTTGTTTTTAGTAGTAGTAATAGCAGTAGTAGTAGTAGTTTTGGAGTAATACTGATGCACGCAGTTTCCAATAAGGCTGCTTAGCTCAGTGTTCCTGGGGAAAACACAACCTATCCCACTACCTTAACAGAAACTTTGCCGGCGTAGATGGTGCTTTGGAGCACTACACACAAACATGATGCACTACTTCTATGGCGAGTTTGATTGCGGTATTCAAAGCAGATGCTTGAAACATACTAAAAAATTAGTGCTTTTATTAACAGTTTTACAAACAGAATCCATTACTGTCTAGTTTCCTGAAGGATAGAACAAGCCATTTCTCTCATTATTTTGACATCATTTCCTCCTCTGCTTTTTGTATTTCTGCTGATGAGCAGTTGCAAGTCCCAAGAGGGAGGGCTTAGTGTAATAAACAGTTAAAATGTTGCTAATTTGATAGTTTACTTTGCAACAACTTTCCTCTTGAAATGATGGGGATCCCACAAGTTCCTATTACCTTGACTCAGAGTTCATCATGAAGAGTGTAAGGATCATTAATCTCCATGGAAAAAGAGACTTTTTTTTTTAAGTAAAAAAATATCAAATATAATAAATTTATGAAAGACCATTCACAACATATACAGTAAGTGTTACATTTTGCTACAGCAGCTGTGATATTTTTTTTTTCTTTTTAGAATGCAAGGTCATACATCGCCGTAAGTAAACACACTAATATGAGTAAGACCTTAAATGAATGTATACAGCCAGGCTTTATCTGTGGATAGATATACACTGTGTTTACTGTTTTACAGTCTAGCATATTCTTATTCACACCATTGATATAACAGCTATGACCCTGCAAAGATTCTTCCTGTGCATATATAAATATAAATATTGAGCCAAGTCAAAAAGAGCAGGGTCAAAGGTTATATGACTTATTAGACTCCTGTAGTTAAGGGTAAAAACTCCATTGTTTCTTTTGCAACTAATTTTTAATAAGAAGGCTGCTTCAATCATTGTGTAGTTACAGCATTACATTCTGTAAACAATATTTTAAAGCATTCTAAACAAACATTTAAACAATTGATTCTTTATCCTTGTCCGGCGAGAGAAGACAATCTATAGCCTCATCGCTTTTGCTCGAGTCTGTCATCTTCAGCTGGAGATTATCACTCGTACCTCTGGTGACACTGTCGTAGGATGGAGGGAAAGACGTAGAGGACAGAGTTTCTGATTTGTCTATTGGCCTGCCGTAGTTTTCGTTCATCATGAATGCAATAAGACCCTCCTTCTCGGGTGCATCGTCCTCGAGGATGCTGCCCTCAAAAGTCCTGTGCCGGTACAAGTAAGATGCCTGCTTCATGGAGCGCCGAAACAAATGTCTCCTGTAGGCCCGCTGGATGACGATGGCAGAGACCTCTTCTTGTTTCCGTCTGAGAGTTGTTGTAATCGGTTCATAAGAGATCTTAGACGGATTCGCTGCCATGAACTTTTCTTCCATCTGTATTTTAAGGGCATCCATCTCTCCAGATTCTCCTAGCACCCTTTTTGTAAAAGCAAACAAAATATCCAAGCAATGGATCCTATCTCCACTAACCATGGGGAGGTCCATTGCTATGAGTTTGATTTTGTTTGGTTTCGCTATGCGCAAAGGTTCTGACAGTGCATCTGCAAAGTCTGAAAGTGCAGAATACTCAATAAACTGAGTGGCTTCAGGGTCAAACTTCTCCCAGATTTCATAGAACATATCAAAATCATCCTCACTTAGAGGCTCTGTACTTTCCTCAGTGGCTACACTGAAGTTCTCTAAAATAATGGCTATATACATGTTTACAACAATGAGAAATGATATAATGATATAAGTAACAAAGAATAAAATCCCTACGGCAGGGCTTCCACAGTCTCCCTTTGAACCATTTGCATTCGGAAGGTTTGGGTCGCAATACGGTGGTCCAGTGTTTAAAATAGGGTTGAGAAGACCATCCCAGCCAGCTGACGTTGTGATTTGGAAGAGACAGAGCATGCTGTTAGCAAAGGTTTGGAAGTTGAACATGTCATCAATCCCATGCTCCTTCTTAACATAGGCAAAGTTAGCCATGCCAAAAATGGCATAAATGAACATGACCAGAAAAAGCAAGAGGCCAATGTTGAACAGAGCAGGTAGGGACATCATTAAGGCAAACAGGAGAGTTCGAATTCCTTTGGCTCCCCGGATAAGTCTTAGGATCCGGCCAATCCGAGCCAAGCGAATGACTCTGAAGAGTGTGGGAGAGAAGAAATATTTCTGGATGATGTCAGAAAGTACGGTGCCTTGAAAAGAAAAGAAACAAACAGTGAGTTAGTACATGGGAAATAATCCCAGGCTTCCCTTTAAAGAAATCAGTCAGGGTTATGGACAAAATCAATGAAAAGTTCCCCAAACTGGAAGACCTATAATAAAGGGAATGGCATTGTCATTAGTGTTTTCATGCCTATTTAATCCATGCAGACTTTTGAGGCTATGAGCAAAGGTGTCAATAGTAGCCGTATTTTTATTGAGGGAAAGACAGTCTATTGGGAATGAGAAATCAGGATCAACTCAGATGGGACATACCTATCTGCAGCTTTTGGTCACGATTTTTGGTCAAGACTTTTGGTCACCTGAGCCATTTATCCTGAGTGTAACTGGTCAGAATTTTTCTGATTTGACAATATTTTTGTCTGTAAAGTGTTTGTGAGTCAGCACTGAAAAGCTGGTGAGCTGGACCTGGTTTTCCGAGCCACCACCAGAACAGTGCAGGTTTCTACTGGAAATCCACTTGGTTGGTTGTTTGCTTATTAATTTTTCCAGTTTCCCTGATGGGCTGGGAGGGAACTAAGGGCTAAGATTGTACTAGCAAGGAAATGAGCTTGCATCTCTGTAGCTAAACTGTTCCTGCAGAAACAGAGTAGCTTGGTCCGGATTGTCTAATGCCAACAGTCCCTGGTTGCACTGAGCTGTGCTGAGCTCATGTCTCCCAGCCCAGCCCGGGAGAGGTCTCACTCACATGGCCCAAGTCCTCTGACACTGAAACAACCTAGTTGATCATGGGGCAGCCCTATGACAAACGTGACAGCTCTGGTTAACCGGCTGCTATGGGCATATCCTGAGCATCCAGCATCAAGGCTCTGATGACAGCTGTATGGTAGTGATGTTCCCTGGGTGACCCAAATCTGAAATCCACGTGGTCTTGGCTGATCCAAGGGCCCCAAAGCACAGGCTGCGCTCTGGGCACTAGGGATCTCCTGCATTGGGACCTTGCAGGCTCTCTGGTCCACCAGAGTGAGTTTAGAGCAACAGAAGCATCAGTCAATGAGATGATGGCTCCGTTTTCCTAACGTGACAGTTTTACTTTCACCTCTTCCTTCCTTCAAAATGGAAACTATATTGGAAAAGCCAAATTTCTGAGTTCCTTCTGCTCACTGGATCAGTTGATCATCTTTTAGTTGCTACTTTATTTCCCACGTTGTGAAAACTCTTTTGGCAGGACTTCAGATTCACATTTGACCTGCACTCCTGTAGCACCTAACCTATGATCTATGGTTGGGGCTGCAGAACAACAAAAGGCACAAATTAACAATAAAACCATGTCTCTCTGTTTCGTCCCTTGGGTAGATGAGGATTTGGAGCTCCAGAGACAAAAGGGCTGAGAACAGCCAGACTCACTGCACTTGCCCAAATGTGCCCTGAAGGGCTATTTCACACTAAGGTAATAAAAAGTAAGTAGAAAAACAATAGCAGTCTGCATGTGCCCTTTTCATGTGGCTTTTTTACTTCTCTGTCTCTGGCTGTTATGCAGAACTGGGTTTAAGTGCATGGTGCCAGTTCTGGACCATGTTTTATCACCAGAAACCATTAAGTGTGGTGTGATAAACCTTATAGCTTCACTGATCACACAAGTTATTATTAGGCAGTATTATGTTGTATTATTTAAATATCAAACATAGGCTTAGGAACTAATTCTCTGAGTTGAAAGTGTATTTTATTGCATGAAGCCTTCAACTTTGTCTAATTAAATTTAGGTCTGCCTTTTTAACTTTGGAGTTTGAGTGAAAATCCAGATTCACCTACCTACGATAGACAGAATCACGACGACAAAGTCAAATATGTTCCAGCCATTGGTGAAGTAGTAGTGTCGCAGAGCCACCATTTTGATGATGCACTCCCCGGTGAAGATGGCAACAAAAAGCATGTTGATTTTATGGAGGATGTTCACTTTTTCTTGACTTTGGTCATCCGTTTCCACCATCATCGTAACCATGTTAAGGCAGATGAGAATCATGATGGAGACATCAAAGGCTTGTTTTGAGACGACATCAAAAATAAAACCTTGATATTTGTTCTGGAGGAAAGGAGAAGATTTAGTTAGGAAATTTGAACTGTGTCAAAATGATGACGTCATTGTCTCCTGATTGATCAGAAACTAGAGGAAAATAGACAATGTACTGCTTCAGATTAGAACTTCATAAACATAAAGATGATGACGAATGGTTGGATGATAGAGTTTTCAAACCCATTTACTCCTAATGATTCTTGAAACTATTGAAAAAAGACCTTGGACTGGGGCCATGAATTCATTCAATGCAGGCATGTGGCCACTGCCATGACTACATATGTAAATTGGCCTTTTAGTCAATATTGCAGAACAATGGGAATTTTGTACCACACAGGTCACTGGACTTGCAAATACTGTCCAAAATCAAAACATGTAAATACTAAGTGGCTTTCATCTGGAAGCAATCACTCTTCCTACACTGGGAAGTTCAATTGCATTCATTCTATTAAATAAATATTCAGCTACTACACATAGTACAACTGAATTATGCCATTCTTACCAGTGGCCTTGGAATCGGCTTTTGAGGTTTCTTAGATCCCAACTTTTTCATTGCATTATAATACTTTTTCTGTTCTTCTGTCATAAAGATATCCTGGCCACCTAAGTATAGGGTGAGAATAAAGCTATTACTTTTGATGAAAAGAGGTCCACTGCCTCCATCCAAAGTTCAGGGCTGCATCCTCTTCTACGTTCTTATTTCCCTTTTCATGTAGCTTTCATCAAAATATCTAAGAAGGGCTTGATGAAATGCAGTGCTGGGAGCTGCTTATTGCATGGAGGTGAAGGGCAGGAGACACAGAGCAGTGCAGGCAACCAAGGAGGAGCAAGACTCGGATTCTGTCTGCACTCAAGGTAGGTCCAGAGCGGGAGGGGAAAATAAAAGAACCTCAACCCTTTGTTTAGAGCCTACAAAACAGTGAGAAACACAGCTCTCAGGCCAGGCTGCTCCTCCCTGACCCTGGCTGCACCTTGGGGCAGGGAGGCGATGGGTTGAGGAGAACAGGTTGCACTGCTCTGAGGGACGGCGGTGTTAGTGCATCGGGGACAGCAGGGCAGTCTGTGCCTCTGTGGCAGAGTTTGTGCCAGAGATCCCATCTGCATGGAGCTGCTTCACTGCTTTCTGTGGGGAATATAATCCCCCAGCCTGTATTTTCAGGATGCTCATCCTGTGGGGACATTTGGGGCTGCCGCAACTGTGCTTTTGTAAAAGTCCTGCAAGGGGTTTTCTGCAGCTGTTCTGTCAATGCTAATCTTGAGGCTAATGTGGCAAAGCCACTGCTTATAAGTCTATCCCTTGCCCTGGTCTCTGCAGCAATCACAAGGTGATGCGTAACATATGCACTACTTATCTTTTTCTTTTGTTGGTTAAAATTGTCAATGATGACACCAATGAAGAGGTTCAATGTGAAGAAAGACCCGAAGATGATGAAAATCACAAAGTACAGGTACATGTATAAATTACATTCCCATTCAGGCTGCTCCTCACACTGCAAAGGGAAAAGGGAAAAAGCGAAAATGACACCATCTCTGCACATATCACAATATTAATGCAGTTAGAAGAAAACTGTCCATCAGCAATAAAGATTATGAAACAGGAAAAACAGTGTAACAACTCCCACTAGCAGAGTCAGCGCTCCACGGTCTCTGTTTGAAGTTTACTACTGGCATCTGCAATGCCATGGTCATTTCAGCTACATTTCACAACACTGTCACAGCAATCACACTGCTTCAGAAAGTGCAACTTCAGAATAAATCCTATAAAATATTCTCAGTCTGAACCCAGAAGGGGAAAAGAATCCATTTTCTGATTAGCCCTAATCTTATATGAACTGATGGTACTTATAAAAACCATAAGTATGATTGCAGTATAATTAAATGTTACTTAAAACCACTGTATTGAGAGTCAGTGTATTTAGAAGTACAATTTTTCTTTTATGAAGGGTAGGAATGAATAAGATCTCTTGCTGAAGGACTGAGCAATGCAGTCAAATAGCCTAAAATCACATGTACCACATTTGGCAAAAATGCTCAGATTTGCCCCACCAGCTCCAGGTATCTAACCAAGGTGCCAGAAGCTCACATTTCCCTAAATGCCGTATTTTCTCATGTGTAACCCATGTGTTTCATTCAGTAGCAGGGACGATACACACACGTGTACATGTAATACAAGAATAAATCAACATCATGAGCTGTGTTATGCAAAGCTAATTCTCCACTCCTTTGATGTCATGAGGTTTTTTCACCCCTTATTCCTCCATTTAGGGCTCGACTCCCTGTTACTCAATTCAGACTGCCAAATTCCCAGTACTCAGTGTAATCTTGTTCGTTTAATATTATTAAAAGAGCAACAACAACAAAACTAAACCATGTGTGATATAGCAAGGAAAAAGCCCCCCTTTTTTTTTTTTTTTAAGGAAACCTGAAAGCTGAATGGGATGTAGGTAGGAACTGGTTGCCAGCGCAGGGCAGTCACCAATACCCAGAGCTCCAGCACATCTCAAGCCAGAGCTGGAAGTTCATACCAGCCGCTTTCCCTGCCAGGAGCTCCTCCACCCTCCTTGAGTGGAGCTGCTGGTTACAGAGAAGAAACTTGCTGAAAGTGAAGATATAGTGGGGGCTGAGGATGGGGATTACAAGGGGATGTAACTTAAACTCAATGCTTTTAAAGAGTTTCCAGTTATCACAAGTTAGATCTGTGGAAAATATGGCAGTCAGCGGGGAGAGTGGAAGAAACAGAGAGGAGAATTTAGGTTTTTGGTAGACTCAGTCTCACTCTGGGGATGCCTCCTGTGCTGGGAATTTTGCAGTATGAGTAGATCAATCAGTTGTGTAGAACTAAGGGCTGCATTTGTTCTGATCTCAGGGTCACGATGCCTCAGTACCAGCTGCTAAAAATGAAGGTCTGCAACTATCTCAACCAGAGTAAGACAAGGGCTGGCAACCTGCATGTATTTTGTTGCTGTTGTTGTTAAACACCATGAATGATGCAAAAGTCAATGGAAAAAGAAATTATTAATTTCTCTGTAGTGACCTACCTCTCGTGAATCCACTGCTGCATACATAATGTCCATCCAACCTTTAAATGTGGCCTGAAAAAAACCCCACAAAATACACAATTAAGCATCTTAAATAGGCATATCTTGAAATGATGCCATCACCTCTGTGATGAGTTTTCAAAATGCAATGATGTTGAGTGTGTTCTTCCCAGTTAATGAATTGCCTCTCTAAGTAATATGTATCTATGGGTTTATGTTCATTTAGACATTTAAAATCATTACAGAACGGTTTTCTCCTGGATTCTCTTATTCATGTTTTCTGATTTTCTGCAGTTGTAGTGATAAAGCAGAGGTTTTTAAAAGAGATTTTAAAAAGGAGACAAAACACGGCAATTCAATCTTTGGAAGTTTTAACCTTAAGAATTTCAAGTAACTAAGAGATATGGCTACACAGGACAACTCAGAGTGCTGTCCTGCACAAGTCTCAGACCAGGTGAGATGGGTCCCATCCATATTGCTTGTTCAGACTGATGGGCAGTGACTATGTTGTAGGATCCCACTGAAGCTTGGATTCTGCCCTCCTTTAAAATGGGGTAAATTAAGGCAATGTCAAAGCCCAGGGAGACACATAAATCACAGCTGACTTGAAAGGAGCAAAGGCAATCAACACCTGCTGTGAGTCTGGCCCTGGAAACGCCATCTGCTTTACTGTTCAGATTTTCTTCCTTTAAATCAGGGTTTCTAATTATTATTTTTCTAATTGTTTAAACAAGGAGGGACTCCACAGAAGTCAGTGCCTGTTACTGGAACCTGCAGTGGAGAAAGAGCAGTGACAATACTCCTAGGAGAAACATGCAGAAGTGATTTTTACTATTCTGTATCAAAAACATGACTCTCTGCTCTCAATATATGCCTCTCATTAGACACAGCCTGACGCCAAACATACCTGGCATTAGATCTGACTCTGGCCTAAGCCACATTACCTTTATATTAGTCCTCTGGGGTTGTTTCTCATTTGACTTCTGACCCATTTAGACTTACCCTGGATTTAAAATTGGTGTGAGCAGCGAATGAGGCATTTTTAGATTTATTGATTTAATCGGATTTACACTAGCATGCCTGAAAGATCCATGCTCAATTTTTTTTTTTAATCCTACTGTCACTTAGGTTGAATTTTCACCGTGGTGTGCAGGCACGCAATTCCAGATAATGCTAATAGGAATTTGGCCAGTGGTTCCCAGGGGAAGCCCAAGCATTTGCGTTGAGCTAGGTACATCCAGAGATTTTAGAAATGCTCCATTATACATTCTCTATTATTAAATTAAATCCTGGAGGTAGCGCTGCCTTACCATTTCCCTCTGAAGGCTACTGAGCAAAGGGAAAATGTGGTACAAGAGGTTAACCGTATTTCTCATGAAAGTATATATAATGTTTGAAAGGTTGCATTCATTTTTATCTGCTGGTTGAAAGAGATTAAACCCCGCAAACCAGAACCCTTTGGAAAATCTATTCCATGATACTGTGTGTTAAAAAACACTTTAGATGTAAAGTGTTTATAGGAATGATCAGCAGTTTTATTGAAACAAATAATTATTTGAACCTGTCATGATGATCCTCCTTAACTGTTCTAATATTTTCCTTTTTTGAGGTTCTCTTTCTAATCTGATGAAAGATTTCCTGGTGTCATTACAGTTGCTTGCAGCTTCCAGCTCAAAGTGCCATTCAGGAAGGGTGGACGGGATGAAACAAGAAATCCTTTTCCCCGTGGCACAAAACGATATGATCTTAGCCTGTACTTTTCTCCCACTTGGGAGGAAATCTTTTCTCTTGAGTAGCTATTTTACTCCTTGATGTGTACCACAGACACAAGAGACACTACTGCAAGGCACAGTGGTTTATAGCAATAATAGATGATGAAGTGATCTGACAAAAAATAAATATTAAGAGAATGAAGTACTGTGATTTTCTGTTTTTCCCAGTTGTCCAGAAGTAAGAGAATTAAAAATCCATGGGGCTTCTGGAAAGCTTCCCTAGACACTTCATCTGCAGAGGGTAAAAGATACTGAGAATGAAAGAAATATAACACTGGGGAAAGAAATTATTTATCTGGAATTAGTAACCACTTACACTCTGGATAAGGAAGTGACAAAATCTTCATGGGAGTGTTTGTGATATTATCCTGCCTGGAAGCTATCCAGAGAAACACCATTTTCTACTGAAACTGTCATGTGATGAGATTATCTACCGATAAACTCATCTTGGGATGGGATTACATTTTGTTATTTGACTGGTGGTTAGAGCTGCAACACAGTAAATTAGTGGGGAGGAGGATAGGTGGGATGGCACTAGCTGCCCTCAAACCATTTATTGTATAACCAAATGGTGCCTTAAAATAAAACAAGCCTTTGAATCTGCTAGGGGGATTTTTTTTTCTAGAAAAGGACTGCAATAGTGCAATAAAAACGGGTGCTTATGACGGCGGAAATACTGGTCTTACAATTACTTCTTTAAGCATTACTATTGGTGAGAGAAACTTCTGAAAGCTAAAACAGAGCCACCAACAGTACAATCAAACTACACATATTTAAGTTGGCTATGCTAACTCCACTGTCTGCTGGCTTTTCTGTTGAATTTTTTTGTTTGTTCCATTTTACCATCGGAGCAGTTTTATACTGAATATTCCTTTTACATTTATTTTGCATTAAGACTATTTGCTTGGAAGGGCACCACTGAGTGTTGGACCCACCAAAGCACCCCAGAAGCCTGCACTGTGCTGGGCTATGTGGGCTCCAAGGGCACTGCCTCTGCTCTCCTTGAATTTCCACCAGTAATTCCTCATGGAAATACTGCTTACTCCTGATCTCGGGACACATGGAGAAATCTACCCTGGAGCACCAATTTAGGGTTTGTTCAGAAGCACAGAATTTTTGCACATTTTGCATCCACAGTGAAAGTAAAAGATAGCATTACAGTTTACAGAAGTGCAAGAGATCATTTAACTCAGTAACTTTAGACACACGCTGCTGTCTCATGACCATTTTGTAGCTGATTTATGAGCTCAGTCATGACTTTGAACCCAGCATGAGGGGTTGATTTAACTCTACAGCTCCTGATTGCTGTCCTGGTCTAGGAGTGCTTCTGTTATCTTCCCATTCCTTATCTGGAGTCCCAGAGTGATAAAAAGTTGTAGAACATGTTGGATGTAAGTCTGTTCCTGTCTAAGGAGAACTTTTCCAAGCAAGCCAGATGCTGTGTGAGAGACCACTTGTTTTCTTGGTGTTCTTCAATAGATTGCTGAAATTTCAAGACACGTTGCAAAAAAGTATGTGGAGGTGATCATAACATGAAGGGAAAGATTCTTCAAGGGAAATGCAAAACTCCTACTGGAAATTTAAGATATTTCTTTGTTCAGCTCAAATACAGATTTATAGAACATAGGTGCTGTGATCTTCAAAGCAATTCTGGGAATATAGAAAAACGCATTACTGAAGCACTGGGTTGTAGCAATAATTTTTTCCTAATAGATTAGGGTGTTAAGGATGTTAAATCCCCAGAAGAGTGAATCATCCCTCTTGCAAATTACTAAGTCGTGATAATAAAGATCTTTTCCTCCTCGTGAATGAGGCATTTCTCTTGCTTGTAGAGTGAGCAGAGATTACCTCCTATTTTAGTAATCTGTTGTGAGACAGTGTGTTTGTTAGTCGGAGAAGCTCAAAACTTGACTGACCACTTCACATGAATGTTTTCTCAGGCTCATTAATTCAAAGTGGTACCTTCAGAACAACATGATGGATCCTAAACAAGGTAGGAAAAGAGCAAAGGATATTTGGGGAAAGTTTCATGCAGTTCTCAACTACATTGTCAGAAAGTTTGCCTCTGGATAGTAGTAAGCCTTAAAGTTTCCATAGTAGGAACTTCTCATTTCTTTCAAGGATGCTGTAGAAGTGAAGACAAAACACTAGGCAGACAGATTTTTTTTTTATGTATTTCCATTTGGATTTTCAGACACATTCAGGCATCCAAAGGTAACTTCAGAGTTGATTAAAGGGTGTGTTGCAGCAGCTGAAAATGTCAACAGTCAAAAGACAAGTCCCACTTAAATGCTCCTATTTTGGATCCCAGAGGGTTGTAACCAAAATGCTTATCTCATCATTGCTACGCACTGTCTCAGCATGCACAAAGATGCATCGATGTGTCTGTCTCTTTAGGAGAGCTGAGCTGTTAACTGATCCCCTGCAGTTCCTATGGTAGTTTGCTTATGAAATGTGACTCCATATGGAGGATTATTTGGCAAGGAGCACCTGTAACCGACACTCCTCGGCTGGAGTCTGGCAAAAGATATCCAGATGTTTGGGCCCCTTCTCTGTGGGTGTCATCTTTACACTTTATTGCTTAAGACTGTTGTTAGCAGCAGACAGAAGAGCTCCAGGTGCAGGATGAAAGTTAAAATCAATCCTCTAATGGCATCTGGCTCCTGCCCTTCCTCCTGGAAGAAGGAGCCAGCACCTGACATAGAAGCTGCGCAAGGTTTTAGGGCTCTCTCATTTCCTGCCATAATCCGTTTGTCCAGCCTGCACAGGCTGTACATTTATGGTACTTCTTTTGTATTTCTGCAACTGGAAAGCCTACTTCTCTGCTACCCAATACAGGATCACAGTTTTGAAGGAAACCTGCAGGGTCATCAAGTCCATTTTCGGCTGGAAAAGAGCAGTACTAGACCATCCCTTCATAAATGTGCCGAGATCCACCTAATGACCAGTTAGGTTTTTGCTGCCATCACTGATCCCAAAAGAAGGCAGTCCCACTTGCTGAATGCAGCCAGTGTCACCAGTGTCAAGTGCCCAGGACCTGATACTGTAGAACAGTAGAAGAGACTGCTTCGGGATACTCCTTAGGCAATGCCAATTTATGAAAAGTTGCAAATTTTCAGAAAGCTGGAGCTTGACTCTTACAAAAGAAATGGGGAAGGAATAACTACTACTCTGATGGTGCTTTTTCACCAAACAAACTAGGCATCTGTTATTCAGTCATGGAGGAGATAAGAGGCTTCAGGTGAGGCATAATACTTTAAAACTGGAAATTTTTGCTCAGCTAGATTGGATGTTTAAATAAAAGACAAAGAAAGCACTATATGGAACAGAAAATCTAATTAAAGATGTTCCAAATGAATTAATCTACCCTACATGTGTGAACTGAATATCATAATTACATGCAAAAGATAAAAGCTCTTGCTCTCAGCAAGTTCACTTTATGTCATGGAAAGAACCAAAAGTGGTTGTGCCCATTCTAACCTTTCTGCTTTCCAGAGGATATGAAAGAAAAGACTCGATGGACAGCAGTCAGAAGACCTCAAACTCAAGCATATGTGTACCAGGAACAGAGTATATAAGGATAAGCATTTCTACAAGAAAAGAAAGCTACTTCATGGAGCTATTTCACGCATCTGTGACAGAGAAAAAAAGATCTGGGAGAAAGCAAATTTGCATCACAGAAAGGAGAAGGTCTGGCAGATCTGATGGGGGACCTGTGGGAGGCCCATTGCCTCTTGGAAGGGCAGGTGGGGGCCTGGGGCAGTACCCTACCACGTTGCAAAGGGTGGATGTATATATGTGACAACTGAATTGAGCTCCCAGCATGGAAGTTTTTATCCCAGAAGCAAGGAATGCCATCACAGGCGCTTCAAGACAGTAACCTCCCTGTCCAAGGAAGTAGCAAGGGACTTGTTTCACAATACGTGCATAAAATGCAACACAACAAACACTCCTAGTGCGTATGCAGCCCTTGTCATCACTAGGCTTCAGAGCAAATTAGGAATGGAAATAAGTATCATTACCACTATTTCACATGAGGGCCCCACGGAATTGAAACACAAAGCAATTTGTCTAAAATCACTCCGTAGTCCACCGGCAGAGCCTGGAAAATAAGATGGAGTCTCCTGTGGCTCTATCCATTAAGTTGTGCTGTGTCACAACACAGTAAATCTCTGTGCATACAACCCGTTTATCTATATTTTACATTTGCTACTGAAAAAGGTTGTAAAAGTGGCTTACTTCTGTCTTTATAGATCAAATATTGCCATCACCTTTGAACCTCAACAGTCTCTGATATGCACTCGCCACCTTTCCAGAGAGAGCAGACTGTATGGAGTTAATGATCATCACCACGTTTCATAGTTAGGTTCAGTCTGACTCATTATGTTTAGTGGGTGGAAATGAGGTGAGGAATCAGAATGAGAGGCACCAGTGTCCATCTCGAACATGTCCACGGACGGCAAGCAGAGGACTGTAAATTAAGATTCCTCTGTGACTCCAGCTTTATGCAATAACTTCAGCTGAGTAACCGAAGGTACTGTAACTTCATTTTTTCCCAGCAGGGTATAGTGAAGTCCCAAGCAGTTCAGGAAGGCTGGTGCACACTGTCTGCATGACCAGTCCTTCCTGAACCATGACTTCTTGTTTCTGGCACTGAACTTTTCTCTGGATTACAATATTGACAAAATGGTCTTTAATTCACCTCAATATTCCAGAGGACTACATTAGTGATGCACCAGAAACTCAAATTAAGACCAGAAGCTGCCATAAATATCTCTACACCAAATTAATATGTCAAATATGGATCATTTACACTTGAGGAAAGTCATTCCCTTGATGGATAAGGCTGAAAACCCCAGAAAGCATAGAGTTTAACCTGAGCGTTTAAGCTGATGATTTCAATGGGAACAACCAACATTCACCCATTAGTTTAGTTCCTGGTGGTCACACTTACCACTTGTAGCAGAGCCAGGTACCCAGCTCCAACATTATCGAAGTTAACTTTAACTTTTGTCCAGTAAAATGTGCCTGACACATTATAGAGTATACAGTCACTCATGTTGTTAATAATTTTAGAGTCTAAAGGCATATCTCCTTCTGTCTTATTAATGCACTTCCCAAATTTCCCAGCAAACAGGTTCACTCCCATGATGCTAAAGATAAGCCAGAAGATGAGGCAGACGAGCAGAACATTCATGATGGAAGGGATGGCTCCCACGAGGGCATTGACCACCACCTTTGGTGAAACAGGAGAGAGAAAACAGAATTAATGTCAGCACTTATATAGAGACTTGGCTAACAAGCTGTTGTGCACCCTTGATTAACTAGGTTGAACCCTCACATGGTGACAGGTGGATAACTACTAACGCTACCTAAAGAGCCAGACCACCATGAAAGTCTTCACACATTATTTTTTTTCCTTTTGTAATTGAAGAGCTAATCTGTTGGCATCCCACCCACGGGATGATGTTTTTTCAAGAGGAATCTTTTAATTCAGGAGCAATCTGCGAAGTCATCATGACCTCTCAGATCCTACTGGATAATGCACTTCAGTCAAACCATCTCTAATAATCATACGATTAATTGGAAACGGCTGGGGTACATCACAGTGTCTCAAAACAGACCAAAAAAGATTTCTGAAATCTTTTGCTGAACCCAGGCCTCCATAGTCCTTGGGATGTGAACTCTAGCTGCGATAAATTTTGCTGATTTAAATAATAACTGATTGAGACATACTGTACTAAGCCAACTTCCCCCGTCTGATCAGTATGCATGATTAAAACAATGAAACCATTCTAATTTAACAAAAAATGTATTATTTTTTCCTGTGACATGCTGTAAAGTTCCTACCCACCAACCCAGGCAGGGCTGTAAACCCCTGTGTAAAACCATACATTTTCTGAGGGAATCACACTATCATAAAATGTAGTTCTCCCCTTCCTATGTCAGCAAGTTTTCTTCATATTCACAGCTTTTGGAGACGCTGCCATTGCACGGTCCAGGCAAAGCTGCCTGGCAGCATAGCTGCAGACACCAGCCCCCACAACATGGATTTGTCTCCATCTCTGTCTCATGCTTTGGAGATTAAAATCTGGTAGGCAGACACAAAGCTCTTCCTCTTCTCCATCTACATTTCTGAAACTGAGACAAGGTGATATTGATCCATAAAAATTAAATTTTATTCAATTGTGAAGCTGATTATGGAAAATGTCAGCTCTTGTTTTCTCTTGTATTAGTGTCCAATTTTCTGACAAGCTAATAATGTAACATTCGTTTCCCCATCATTTTTGCATTGCTGAGGAAGAAAAATACCCAGAAGAGTGAAATGGTTTTCATGCATGTATAGCAGCAGCTTCATCTACAATATACAATACAAAATTATGTATATCTTTCAAAACCCAGATTTATTTTTTGTGCATTTATGAATGAAGCTAATTTTTACACAGAAAAAGCTGTTTGACCAATTTCTTTTTTTCTGTATAGGCCCACTCCTGATGCCTTTTCAATTTATTTTTTTTTCCTAATTTTATCTTTTAGTTTTGGATGTTAATCAATTTCTAATTTCATTGTTTCAAGACCAAATTTACTGTGTTAACCAAAATGCCAAATAATTTCCAAATCAAGGGCTTATTTGGATGTAGCCTTGGCCCTTGTCAAAGTAGCTTTCTTTTGCTGCTACGCGGGATAATGTTTTTGCTCAATTTTAATCCATGCAGCATAAAGCCACTGCACTTATGTTACATACGCTGCTGAAACCAGCTCCCACTGTGACAGG